TTTCTGAAGAAGGGTCCAGACCCGAAACGTCAGCTTTCCTGCTCCTCTGATGCTGCTTGGCCTGCTGTGTTCATCCAGCTCTACACCTTGTTATCTCTTATTAACTTACGCTGTTTTGTTTCTGCTATTTTAATTGATCCATGAATTTATGAGACATTTGTACGTACATTAGAGGTAATGCATAGCGACACCGGCATCAAGTAGAATATCCGATTGGCAACTGTACGAAATCGGCCAAATACGATACAGTTATATTACAACTTCTCACTGAAATCTCTATTCAGGAGGCTCGATGGAAGGAACACTAAAGGTCGAAACGGTAGATGTCGCTGTACGGTCATAATTTGGAAAAAAATAACAGCAGAGCCACAATGCAATGTTAAATAGGCCACAGACCGGGATCTTCATCGGATCTAACCGCCCTGGAGCTGGTTCGTGAGAATAATTAGCACATTAAGCACATTTTATAAAAATCGCTACCCTTTGGTGTAACCGAAAACAAAGTCGCCAAACAGATTTGATGGTTTCAGCCTTTTCTGTTGGATTACTGAAATACAATCCCGACCACGTTTGTACGGCAATAGATTTGCAGGAACTATATCTGTGCAGCAAAAAATGTGCAGAAATGACTTCACCTGGAAGAACTTCCTGTCCAAAAATCTGTAAATTGTTTTTTTCTGATATCAATGATCGCTGTAATATTTTTGAGTTTCTCCACGCAAAAATGAGTCGACTCTCAACTTGAGATTCCAATTATTTTTGCGGACAATTTGTAATAATTGAATCCCTAACCAAGTTGGCGTCATGCAGTCTGCCCAACTGTTATCCTTTTAATGTTTCTCTATGTCCGGTTTAAAGCTCCAAATATTTATTACTGTAAAATGATTTTTGTCCAAATAATTCAACAATGTTGTACCCCAAAGAGCTTCGAAAAATACATTGTAAGTGTTCACTTGGTTTGTAACTTCGGTGCAGAATAAACTGTAAGTTCTTGCATTTTGTTAATACTTAAATGTAGATTATACAAAAGTACCTTTGACAACCAATAGTTTTATTTAGTGTTGGCATATGTACACGGATTGTTTTCATAATTGGGGAAATAAAGGGGAGTAAAATGCATGGTATCTTTATGCTTATACAGTTTTATCTTTTAAAGCGAATGTGTTATTAAATTATGATTTAAAATCCTCACCTGCTAATAAGAGTACTGGCGCTATATATATGTTCCGCTTCGGTTCATAAAAATTAAACCAAGATACTGAAAAATTGAATATTTATCTCTGAAATTCAGCATCTTTATCGGTTTTCAAATTATAACTAACTTTTGAACGCGCATTTAAAAGGGAAAGCGCACTCACGCTTCTCTGTACAAACGGAAGAATATCGTTTTGGTTCAATTCAATTGTTGTTACACACAGAATTAAATTTTCCAACGCTTTTGTTGCGCTGTGACGACGATTCGCCCTTTCTTAAGCTGTGAAAACTGAATGTATTTTAAAATAATGTCACATTTTATTTAACTTACCGCGTTTTTTTGCAGCAGCTCTTAAAAGGTTGAACGTTGAACTTGTATAATCAACATTCACTATTTTACAATGCCTCTTAGCATTGAAGGTAACTAAACCAATAAGGTAATCACGAATCTTGTTTTAAATTAGCCACGATAAGATTTGCATGTATGTAATATTTGACAGTATTTCTAATTCAGTGGGTTTCTTCTGTTTGTATTTCAATCTGTTTCTCTCTCGGGGAGTCACAGAATGATGGACAACTATTTGACCTACGAGGGGCAAAAGCAATCCAAACTGAGCCTTGATCATTCAGCTGGGGATTGTAGCCCTGTGGCCTGTCGTGAAACGGACCAGTATAATTTGCTTTGATCTCCATTGGTTCTGTATAAGAAACAATACTGACTTTTGCCCAACACCCACCAAGATTGCATACCAAGAAAAATAACCAGCAACCAAAGTCACTGGCAATGACTTCAGTTCAATTCCCGAGAAACCAGCCCACCTTTTTTCCAGGCTTTCGCACTCACTATTGTCCGCGTTAGACGTGTCAGTTCATTTAAAGTGTCGATTAGTTTAATGGCCAAATTTATTTCCAAAGTTGTTTGGTTAAAAAGATGCCTTGAGTATGATCGAAGACTTTAATCGTTAAGGGAATGTTTGCTTTATGACCATTCATGTTTGTGAAATATGTTCGCTGTTGGAACAATACTCGTAAACGTTGTTGAGTGAATGTTTAATAGTTTGGGAGAAAGTATGGGACAGATGCTTTAAAAACATTCGAAGAATTCTCAGCAGATTTGCTGTTGTAACGCGTGCGAGCTGAGAACAAAAGATAATTAAAACTATTTTCTTTCCAATAATTACCTTCTGGTCAATTTAACTGTATAGAGTTTGAAAGAACCTTGGTAAATGAGATCCCGGTCCCAAACGTGTTCCCATGCCTAAACCCAGCCAATAATTATTCGTTTGGTTTCATTTGCTTCAGACGCTGCAGTGAGTAATCACAAAGAAGTCAGAGAGCATCCTTGAACCTTTTCAATACCCAAGCCAGTGATATTCAAATAACGTTTAAGGGCCATTTGACTGGGAACAGAAGCATTTCAAATTCAGCATTAGCATACATTTGCTGCGTTTGAAAAGCAATGAAACAGTTGCCTTCATAACATAAAAAGAGCGGTTATCAAATCGAGTGCCCCAGTTTTTATTTGAAACGCTCACATTTTATCCTGAATCCGTCCTTACGCGTTTGACATGCAAATCTATCCAGTTAATTTGAACAATTAAAATGGATCTTCAAGGGAGCATTGTCATTAGAAATCTCAAGAGTTTTACTTGGACAAGCTCGGATAAAGTTCACGGGAACAAATGATGTCTGAGAGATTAATTGGATATTTGATAAGACATGAATCTCTAATCGGGAATACAAGGCACAGGGGGCTGCTGTGTGTTCCAAGTCAAAATTACTAACATTTAACAAGCTTTTCATTAAGGCATGAAATGTCTGCTACGGAGTATTAACTACTCACCTATTCCATAGAGAACTCAGCTGTGCCTCAGTGTTCACAGCATTGTAACCGCATTGTATGTTAGACATGTATATACAGAGTTCTGGTAAAAAAAAACTGCTAATAGCATAGAAATGCTTGCATTTATACACTATACAAAAACACAGTATTTCGATATGCCTAGATAATTTTATAGACTTATAATGTATCTAAATAAGCAACTTAAATTATTTTAGTATTTAAAATGATCAAAAATTTGACGAACTTTCTTCCATGACATTCTTAGTCCTTTGTCCTATCATTTATGGTTGTAAAATTGCCCACGATTTACTTTGGAAAATGCCTTTATAATATATTAAAATATGTTTTGGTTGATTTGCAATGCAGTAATTTAATAACAAAGACGTGTTCCATGTTAGCACTTGCACAATTTATTTATACAGATAAATGCATATAATACTTCCTTTAAAATATGCGGCGCAGTTTTGCTGTTCATATAGTATGTGAATGAGCTGATTAATATTCAATAATCTATTACATATTGACTTTCACAAAGTGCATTGAACTCAAAAATCTCCCCAAATCAAATGCGACCAGGTCACAAAATAGCTTTATCAAACATTTACAAGAAAAAAGAGAAAACACAGGACGTTCTGAACTTCTTCTGTACATAGAATTTTAAACAGCCTTATACAGGGAGAAACAAGTCCCAAGCATTTGATGTACATTTGCTCACCTCCTTTTAAGATGCAGCTTCCGTGATAGAATAGGGCTTGGAACTCCAGGTACCTAATAGTTATTTTGGACACAAAAGTTTTAATGCGTTCCCCCTTTCAGGGGGTTAGATTTAGGAATCATTTTGTACCGGAGTAGCTGTCTTGATTGCTCTATTGGAGTGTACAGCTTCCATGAGGATATCTGGTGACTCTGATCTAGGGGTCTCCAAGTTGCTGGTGTCGGTGTCACTGTCGCTGCCCTTTTTGCCCCCACCACCGCTGTGTGTTTTGATGTGTTTACTTAGATGGTCGCTCCTCATGAACCGTTTGTTGCAGACGGGACAGGCGAAGCGCTTCTCCCCCGTGTGGGTTCTCAAATGTCTCTGCAGCTCGTCTGATCGGGTGAACCGTTTACCGCAGAACAACCAGTTACAGACGAAGGGCCTCTCGCCAGTGTGCCACCTCAAGTGTGCTTTAAGGTGAGAAGTCTTGCCGTAGACCTTACCGCATCCTGGAATGTGACAGCTATGGAGGCCCTTTCTCCGGAGACTCGCCCCGGCAGGTCCAAGGCGCTCGGCCTCCTGGCAATTGGGGCAATCACAGGTTGCTCGGCCAGAATAACGTCGGGAGGACCTGGCCGAACTTCCTAGTCCTGAAGGACCCGAAATCATCGAGTTCGCCGTAATTGCAGCCGAGGTGGAATCCGTATAGGATGGGATCATAGGCTTGAAGCCATCTTGGGCCAGGAGGCGTTGTCCAGTGGACAACAGGTGAGAAGCTGTCGAACCGAGTCCGGTGGAACTGAAGGCGGAATGGCTCAGAGTGGAGAAGTCTGCGTTGTAAGAGCTCAGTTGGGAGTGCAGCGAAGCCTGTGGAGTCCCAGAATGAAGGGAGGGCTGTAGGCCCCCATTGGGATTCTGGACTTCCAGCCAACTGGGGTTAGTGTGCACGTCCCACCAGGAAGAAGCCCCGCTCCCAACTTCGCCGGAAATGCTGGTATGGAAACCGGATTTGTACCAGGATTCATATGGATGAGCCATTCCTACCCTCGGGTACATCCCTTGGAGAGTATCAGCGGAAGAGTGAACTTTGGATATGAACGCCGATTGCCCCGTGTCTTGGGAGTTAACAGTAGCTGAGACAGAGTTCGAGAAGAGACTGTATTCGGTACCAAAAGCAGAAGAGGTTGGAGAGGTGGAAGCCAAACAAAAGGCGCTGTTCCCGGAACCATTGCTCACGGAGAAACTGTTGCTGATTCCGCCCGAAGCTCGGCTGTTGGCCACGCTGAATCCTGACAGGCCAGATCCCAGGTTACAATTGGAAACAGAACGTTTCCATGGGTGAAATCCGCCCTTACCAAATGCACTGGATTCTGGCAACGTTGTTAATGGGCTTGTGTTGCCAATCTTGTTACAGGTTGCGGCCAGCATTGCCAACGGAGTGGTTCCAAATCTGGGTTCTTCCTGAGGACGAACAACATTGTGTAAGTAGCATATGGTGGGAGGTGAAAACTGCTGAAAGTAAATAACATCCGCAACCGTCTTGAGACAAAGTCCAAAAGAGTTTCTAAGGAATAATTGTCACAAGTAAAATCAAGACTGTCGGTTTACTTATCTGTTTCCGCATGATAATACACTGAAACTAAAGTACTTGCCAGACACTGCATTTGAAGGTGAAGTTTAGGGAACTGCTTAAAATTAAGTTTGCACAACTTACCCCAAGTATTGAAGTTGCCATGGCTGGATCGTTCTTCTGCTTGCTGATGCGGTGCCCCTAATTTAAACGAAACGAGGCTGTGACAGTTGAGGAATATGACTATTCACTCACTGCCTGGTTCTCCGGACTACTCGACCTAATTGTAGTGAGCGCACGCTTTGAAGTGCCACGGTGCTGAGCTCTTAGCCAATCAGACCTTTTCTTACACGGCCAGGGCGAGCAGTCAGCCATTCAGAGTGCCCAGCATGCCGCCATGGCTAGGTCACAGCCAATCACAATATCTGGAACATCAGGGAAACTGGGCAGCCCGCGTCAATCACCCACAGCAGCATCACTGCACTCTGGTATTGTTGTCAATCCATTCCGATTCACTTGCCCTGTACTGTACACGGCGTTTCCGCGCTCACTCTGATCCGTAGCCAAATATTAAAGAGGCTCCTGCACCACCAAGTATTTTAACATGTTGAATCTTTTCAAAGGAGCAGAGAGAGAGATAATAGGCAGAGTGGGTTTTTTTTTGGGGGGAGGGTGTCATCTAAACTTGTATGCTTTACTATGAAAATACCATCTTGCCCTAGAGGGACAGTTTACTTCGCGGCATTTTGACGAGTGTGGATTGGTGTGTGTATATGTGTGTGTGTGTGAGTGCTGGAGGAGGTTATATTAAGAAATAAGGCATCGTCTGTGGATGGGTTAAAGAAGAGTTTGTGCGACAATTTATCCAATGATTTCAGGATCACGTTCTGGAGCATATACAGAAAAATCCATGTTAGAACCTACTTACAGCACCGGTACTCTATTTGTGCGTCAGATTATTGCTATAGTTCCGTGAAGTATTGACGATCGCCTCTAGTTTGCTGTATTTACTTGCGATGTTATTTTGATACTTTCCGTCTATGATTTGGCCGCGCAGTTTTTTCTAGGACATAAAGAGCAAGCTCTTAACTCAGATCAAACTTTATTGGAAAGCTGTTGTAACGTTTATATAAACAACCGAAATGTTTAATAGGCTTCGTATTTCAGTGTCTTGCGTTTAGAATTTAAATTATGATAAAGGAAAATAACACCAGCTAATTACATGCATTCTGTGTTGAGACTGAACTAAATGACTTATGTAAGTTGCATTTTTAGTTTTAAAAGGAATTAGAACTGCAGTTGAGAAGTATGTAGAATTATACACGTCAGGGTCCAGACTGAATCGCAAATGAATTACTAAGCAGACGTCTATCTCAAGCATGAAACGAGCTAAAGCTTACCCACGGGGACTGTGATCTTGATCAAAATGATGCCGCTGTTCTGGGTTTTGTTTGATCTGCTGTGAGAAATAACGAAGCTGCCCGGGAGAGTTACTTACAATTATTGTGAGTCTGTTTGAGAGCAGGTGAATATTGCTCTTTTACTCTGATATAAGATGCTAACTGTTTATTTCTGCCATGTTTACTGGATTTTACCAATAGCTGTGATTATAAGATGTCAGCGAGGCGTTTCCGACCGGCCCAGGGGCAGGAGAGGGAGGGGAGCCACAAATGCATTTTTGTGTGGAAGAAGACTGATTGGCGGTGTAACAAGTGAATTTGAGAAGTCCCGTTTTGTTCTTGTTCATTTTGACTGAACAAACCGTGGTCAAAGGGTCTATGAGTCTAGGTTTCGACATCTTTACAACCAGTCAAAAGTGGATTATAATGATAAACAAGAAATAAATAGAAGCGACATGCTAAAAACGAACAATAATTCGTAGTATAACTAACTGTCAGATTAAGATGGATTCGTACATCTACACTAATATTCATAGGCAGTACCAGTCATCGGGGTATGAGATAATAAGGATTACTAATAATCTAGACAGGAAAATAGAATTATAAAAAGCTTCAAACCTACATGTATTTTAAGACCACATTAATCAAACAGATCCTTTCAAATTCCAAATTTAGGAGGTTCAATAATCAGAGCTATGTTTTACTTAAAACCCAGTTTTTAAACACAGATCAGGGCATTATGCGAATGACTTGTGCTAGCGGTTAAAACATTTAGAGATAATGACAATCTAACAAAGCCCTAGTTCCGAGTGTAATCGCTTGTGACTCATCATCCTTTTTAAAAGTTAAAGCAATTTCAGGAGAGACGCTTTCAGTAACCGTTTTACATTATTCAAAACGGACAAATAATACTCTATTATAGCGGTTGAATGCTGCCAGTCATCACAAGTGCAATTTATCGAAAAGCTCAATGTGCCAAATATCGCAGTCTTTATGGGGTAGTGAATCTAAAACAATTTCTTCGAACCTCTGCACAGATTTCGAAAATTGCTTCCCATTACAATCACACCAATTTGACGAGACGGCAATTAGCACTATTAAATGTGGATTCTGCATAAACAAATGTAATGGAAATGCAACCAGTTACTTGGTCACAAAGAAAATTCAGGTCCAGAAACGCTTTTCATCGTTGATAAATATCAAGTTTCTTATTTTGCCCATGTAAAATCACCAATAGTCCTAGAATTTTTATCTTCTGATTCACGTCATGATTGAACGTTTCAAGAGGTCTGGTAAAGAGAAAATGATTTCCATTTTAAATTAATTGGGCACTATGTGTTTGAAGGACCTAATTAACAAAGCTATTTTTTAAAAAAAATTGAAACTTCTCGATAGCTTTCCCTTGTACAGGTACACTGGTCCCTTTCAACTGTCTGTTTACTGTCGATAATAAAAAAACTACTGATTTCTAACTTTAAGATATATCATCGTTGAGATGAAAACAAATGCAACTAATTCAAATAAAAGTGATATCAATACAAAAATTGCCAAACTTGCGTTTGTTTAAATATAACTTTCACATTCATCTAAACTCAAAAAATAGCTCACACAAGGCAAAAGTACATTCATACATTTGGATTTTGAATCATAAACAAGCATTTACAGGCGTGTGTTCATGCGGATATAACCTGCCGTTATTACATGTCTGTACTATAAGACATTTCCCGATATACCGAAAATTCATAAAGGTTAGATTGTTTCTTTCTATTTGTAGTTCCGTGACCGTCAGGAGGTTTTGACTCGTCATACCTTATTGTCAATAGATCTCACACCGCCGCTCGGATAGAAGTCAAGGTAGAACTACGTAATCCTATTTGCACAATACAGAACATATGTCAGCAGATATATAAGTTAGGACATACACGCCGATTTAAAAGAAATGTAACAGGATTTGCTCAGATGTGCGAGTTCTTTTTGGCTTTCTGTGTAATAGTGGTACATTAGCAATCAAATGTTGCGTCTCGGAATTATTACTGTAGAATGTATTTCAAGTCAACCGCTGCACAAGTAAAACAGTTTTATTTGGAGCTCAACATTTTGATAAGGTATCTTTTGTCTCACACAGTACTTCCTTTATTCTTCCTCAAGTAAAATTAAATTTGGGTTATATCAAGGGAATCTTCGATTTTAATTGCCGGTTTAAAAGATCATGTAATCATTAAAAAGATCAATGAGCAAATAGTCTTCAAGTGCAATGTGGACAAAGAACAGATAAATTTTATTTAACCTTCTTTGTTATCTTGTCCCTGTGAATGAAGTTTGATTCGAAAGCATTTGGAGATCTGCCGGGCCTCTCACATAGATTCAGAAGGGTGAAAGCAACAACAGCACCGGCAGCGGCACTGTTTGAGAGAGGAGCAGGCTGCGGAAGATGAATGCTCCATCTGGGATACAGGATTTTAATTAGAGTGATTGTGCTCAGATCGCCCTCATTCATTCATCAGCTGATCAGTAAGTGGCGCTGCCAACGCTTTGTAAAATGCGGTCGTGATCAGGCAAATTATTTTAAATGAAGCGCAATATTCTTATATGAAGTGGTCCCATAGTAACGACGAAACCACTCGCTAGGGTCGATAAAGTCTACAACAATCACGTGTTATTGAAAACGTAAACAAACAACATTTATAAATATTTATTCAGATTATAAATTATTGTCACATCTCGCTACTAATTATTCTGCACGAATAAACCTTAGAATACGTGGAAATATTGCCCTGAGCGGTTTTGTATTGTGGCCAAAAGTGCAAATGTATCATTACCACGAGGTATTTTGTAAACTGGTGTCTCACCTTTAGGACAGTATAATCTATGAGAAACTCAAAGGCTAAGTGACTTTGAAATAGGACAGATAGATACGATGAATTTATATTACAGTTATGAAAGAACTATCTTACATCCATCTTTCGGAATTTCAGAACATGTTCTTTAAATTGGTGCCCTGTACAAAATCTTTTCAGCTTTTAAATGCAATGTAAGTCTAAGAGTGTCGTGAAGGTCAATGGGAAATTAGCTTTTATTGTTAGTTCTAAAATGATGAACAGCTAGATCCCTTAACACAAGACTTTCAGTAATTTGGAGGGAAAAAGGAAAATTGATTGCATTAATAATGTGTACAATATCTTCATATGAATCATTTATTGAAAACACTTTCCTTTTGTTACCCGCACCTGCAAGTACATTAATCACTGTACATTGAGGTTGAAAAATCCTTAAAAGATATACACTTACGTTTTAAACCCTATATTCGTCAACACGAGAGTTTAATTTTTATTCTTTCCGCTGCTTAGGTGATTGGTTTCATCTTTGAGTTGCTATGTGGCGCAGCGTGTAGAAATTAAATGGAAAGTCAATGGAAATCCTGGTGTGTGGCCAAACGGATTAACTCACCTTGTTGCCAAGATCTGAATAGTTCCTAAGTAGAAGTCCCCTCCTAGTTAGTGTAATTCAAAGATAGAGGCATGAGGTTTGTTTAGCCCGATAATTTCCAGAACCACTCCAAAGCTTCTGTTTCACCACGCATGCATTCTCGACTTATACTTCAATCTTAGGAATTCTCTTTGAATATTGACCCCGAAGGGTTGAATGGGCTAACTTCAGAACTTCAGCAATCTCCATTTGTAATGTCTGTTTTGGAAATAACAATAATTTTCTGAAATAGGAAGAATCATGTCCGCTTCCCCTCATTTCTCATTCTGCTGCGTCGAT